AGAAGACCCCGATCACTGCCTACAGGACCTCACAGAAACCACTCACACAAGGAGAAGACCCCGATCACTGCCTACAGGACCTCACAGAAACCACTCACACAAGGAGAAGACCCCGATCACTGCCTACAGGACCTCACAGAAACCACTCACACAAGGAGAAGACCCCGATCACTGCCTACAGGACCTCACAGAAACCACTCACACAAGGAGAAGACCCCGATCACTGCCTACAGGACCTCACAGAAACCACTCACACAAGGAGAAGACCCCGATCACTGCCTACAGGACCTCACAGAAACCACTCACACAAGGAGAAGACCCCGATCACTGCCTACAGGACCTCACAGAAACCACTCACACAAGGAGAAGACCCCGATCACTGCCTACAGGACCTCACAGAAACCACTCACATACGCAGACTCAAGGAAAACCAGAGAGACTGGAGCGTTCTGGATGTGAGTTTTCAACAGCGCTTTACAAAAGAACGGTTGCGTAAACACTAGTTTCTGGAGAAGTAGAGAAAGTGAAGAAATGCAACAGGAAAGAGAGAAGCGTCTGTAATCTTTCACCTTCGTTCCTGCGGATGAACTGAAACGAGGACTCGCATTACTGAAATACTTCCTTATTCACAGAAACCTGCTCAGCAAAAGATCCGCAACCAAAAATAACAAAACAAGCAGCTGCCAATCATAGCCACCACACTGATGAGCATTATGATGACTCTCTCGTCAAGGCTCGAGTCGAAGTTCTTCACACAAACATTTGTTTTAAATGTGTTAAATAGATTTTTTTTTATTCCAGCTGAAAGCACATTAAATGAGCAAACGCATGAGTGTGTGTGTGTGGAGTCATATGGTGTGTTCAGGGAAGCACATGTGTGTGTGGATCCAGGGCATGTCACAACATGTCAGACTGGGTCTGTCAGTTCACCGTGTCACATGACCTCCGATCGCCGTGTCACATGACCTCCGGCCCAGTCAGAGCCCAGGGACCTTTGTCTGCAAACAATGACTGACAAGAGAAATGCCAGCAATGCTATCGTTTACAAAAACTCCTGAATATCTTCATGACACACTGAAATGACCTCTTCTATATCTTAAAGAATCACAAAAATACAATAAATCTCATTAGTTGATGCATTAATGATCAATACATCTGTTACCGCACATATTTATCGTTGTTGACGTTGATATGAGTGCAACTGTTGATTGTGTTCATGTCAGCTCAGGTCCATTATTAAATAACATGAACAGATTTATCTTTTGATGTTTAATAATGTAGCCTATTAATAAATGTTGAAATGAACATTAATGCTTCTTTTTCATTGTTAGTTCATGTTAATGTAGTTAACTAATGTAAACCTGATTGAAAAGTGTTGCAAAGTCCAACAATCTGAGACGAGTGAAAATGACTCAATTTCTACCAATATTATCAACAACTGAAGATTTGAAGTCAAACCAAAAAATGTAACATTCAGAATATTTTTTTTAAAGTTTCCCAAATAATGTCATTCATCAAAGGAAACCAAAAATAAACGTTCACATGGTCAGTGCATTAGTGAACTATAAACCGAGGACTATATTAAATGTTAATAAATACATGATGAAATATGTAATATTTATCATAAAATATTTTGGGAACACTTCACAATAAGGTAGTATTAATGCTGGTTAATACATTAAATAACACAAACTAATGATGAACAATACATTTGTTATTGCTCATCTTTGTTGACATTAGATAATATTCATATATATCTCAGGTCCATTCAATAATATTAACAACTATTGATTTTAATTATGTATAAGTAAATACTGACATTAAGTAAGATTAATAAATGCTTTAGAAGTATTTTTTTCATTGTCAGTTCATGTTATCGAATGCTAACAAACGGAACCTTGTTGTGAAGTGCGACCAATATTTTATTTTTTATTTTATGGTACAATATTTCCATAAATCTGTTGCTTCGGCACTCCACCGCCTCCACAAACACCTGACGACCCAGAGAAGAACAGCTGGAAGTTATTCCGCGGGAGTGTGTGTGTGTGTGTGTGTGTGTGTGTGTGTGTGTGTGTGTGAGAGAGCAGATTGTCCATCTGAACGCCAGAGAGGAGCCGCACCCTCTGAAACAGAAACACACTGAACTCGCTCCACTTTCGTGCTTCACCACCGAGGAAAGACTTCAGCTTCTCTCCGATTCACAAATTAATTCTATAATCATTTCCAAGCCTGCAGCTGTGGACCTGTTCAATAAGCATCGAGCAGAACAAAACTCCCAGGCTTCACAGCGGGAAGGTTAAAGCACTCATAGGAAGCGAGAGGAAGGCAGTGTGTGTGTGTGTGTGTGTGTGTGTGTGTGTTTGGACAGGCCTTCGTCTGAGAGCGCGTTACTGCAGTGGACAAGCCCGGACGGATCGGCAGCAGGAATGAGAACAATGACTGGAATCCCAGGGTTTTCCCAGATCTGAGCCTGCGGGCACGAGCGAAGTCTCGCGAGACTCAGAGTCTCAGACACACACACACACACAGACACAGACACAGACACAGACACAGACACAGACAGACACACACACACACACACACACACACAGACACACACACACACGCGCGCACTCACCTCAGCGATTAATTATTCAAACACGGTTTGCCTTCATGTCTGGGTGAAACCAAAACTGAAGTACAACAATTATAAACAGGTTTAGATTACAGATGCAAGAGGAAATGTGTCGTGTGACAGAGATGCAACTTCTGTCATAAGACTAAAAACTGTTTAATTTAGCAACCAGGCAATATTCATGTCGAGAAGCAAAAATGTATTGGCCCTGATTTATGCTTCAGATCTTTAAAATTGGTAACACGTCATTGTACAGTGTCCTTGTTACACATGCGTACTGTAGTAAAAACAGTAAATTATCCAAAATTGCATGCAAATAAGCCTAAACCAAACCCTAACTGTATAGCACATGTAGTTCAGTTAATATCACTCAGTACTTAAAGGAATAGTTCACTTCAAAATGAAAACCATCATTTACTCAAGCCTGTACGAGTTAGTTTCTTCTGCTGAACACAAAAGAAGATATTCTGAAGAATGTTTGAGACCAAACCGTTGTTGGACCCCATTGACTTACATGGAAAAAAATGATACTTCATTTTGAAGTGAACTATTCCTTTAAATATATAATTACACTGTAACAAGGACACATTAAAATAAAGGGTTACACTTTATTTTAAGGTGTCAGTGTTACAGTGTAATTATATATTTAAGTACCGAGTAATATTAATCAACTACATGTATTTACAATAGGGTTAGGGTAGGAATTAGGGTTTGGTTGACGGTTATTTGCATGTAATTATGCAGAATTTACAGTTATTACTTTAGTAAGTACACGTAACAAGGACACTGTAAAATAAAGTGTTGCCAAAATAAAAACGGTTAGAGTATCTCAATGTGGAATAGAGGAGGACAGGAGTCGGTCTGACCAATGCAACGCACTGGAGATGCTGAACTAAACCCTGCAAATCAGCGCTGGTGACGACAGCGCTGCGGGAAAGAGACAAGCACACAGAAACAACACCCACACACACTCTCAAGCTGTGCTGCAACGCTTCCTGCAACACACACACACACACACACACACTCAACAACACGACAACGAGAGCTCCACAGATCCACAGGAACTGGAAATATGTGCCTGTTTGTGCTCGTTTTACAGGCTTGGTCACTGTCATTCAGTAGCAGCACACACACACACACACACACACGCGCACGCTCACTCAACAACACTGCAGCCCTTTAAACAGAGAAGCACATCTCAGATCACATGACTCTGCCACCAGAAGACCCGTGACGGCGCAAACGGACCACACACCAGCTGACGAGTTGCTCAAAGCCTTCGCCATCACAGGCGTAGAGCTCGTGTGAGGCCGTGGGGAAGTGAAACTCGCACCGCTGAGATGACGAAGAGAACTTCCTCTGCTTTAAACATGTCAACATCACATCAGAGTTTAAAGCAAACTCAAGACTATCAGTGCTCACACACACACAAACATCATGATGTGTAATTCACTCGCCCTCATGTCACTTGCTCTTGTTTTTGACAGATGGAAGTCAATGGGGTCCAAAAATGTTTGGATCCGAAAACGTTTTTTAGAAGGAGATGAGGGCGAGCGAATGATGCGGAGGATGAACTCTCTCTCGTGGAGTGTGTCATGGAAGCTGGCCTAAACTGGCCGATGAAATGTCTAGGTGACACTTTACAATAAGGTTCATTAGTTAGCATGAACTAAGAATGAACGTCAGCATTGATTTCAATATGAACTAATACGTTATTAAAATCAAAGGTTGTAATTGTTAACATTATGAATGCACTGTGAACTAAGATGAACAGCTGTATTTCTTATTAGCTAACATTAACAAAGATTAATACGCTAATAGTGCTCAATACATGAACTATTGAACCTTACTGTAAAGTGTTACCAATGTTTCTAAAATTTCAAATCCAGCAAGGCAACTGGTGACTCCACTACCTTCAGTTCCCGGGGTTTAAGTGAGAGATGCAGTAAACCGTACATTAGCCCGTGAGGGACTCAGGAATGAAGCGCAGCGATTCTTCACACATGTATAATTATGTGCAGGCCAACGCCTGATGCTACACATGCTATTTCTAAACCTTGACCAAACATTCCCGACATGTGTTTTACAAGAGGAGTGTGTCTTTGAGGCCCGCGGGCGGAGGAACGAGATCCTCGAGTCACATGACCCTCGAGTCACATGACCCCGCACTGTGACTCCATCTGAAACCTTCATTCCCAGATCCATCCGAACACCGTACGCCTTTACAGGATCATCAAAGTGCATTAAAGAGATCGGACCTGTCAATCAATTTATGCATAATTAGCAGTTGCTCAAGGTTAAGAGGTTTGCATTCATTAATTCCCGCCACGAACCGACTGCGAGTTCTCGAACAAAAGGAGGGCAAACAAAACACTGTGCATGATGATGTTTTTTAAAAATGCATGTATTAAAAGTCTCTTTAAAACAATCAGACAGCTGTTAAAATGCTAGTCTGAAATTAAACGTACAATCAGATTAGAATTTCAATGGTACATCACATTTGTTAAAAACAAAACAGATCTGATTCAAAACTGGTCTAGAGACAGTGGTTTGTGGCTTCGAGTCTGAGGGCTTCGGTACCTGTGTTTGTGTTTGAGGAGAAAAAGCCAAGAAGATTTTTACTCAAAGGCCGAAACAAAACAGCGTTCGTCGACGGACGCGTCGTCCAGCCGCAGAAACCATAGCAAGCGTAAGTGTGTGTAAGTACTGGGTGGATTTCCTCGAACCGAGACTCCTCGCAGGTTGGCACTAAACTCAGCTTTTTGGAAGGCACTCGACGCGACGATGACGTAAAGATCCTCACGTCAAAACAGTAAATAAAGTCCTCGTGCAGCGCTCAAGGAGGAGGGAAGTGGTTTCAATACTTTATAAGATTCACAACAAGGGTTTCCAAACAAGAGTCGCTGCAAACTTCTGCCGTGCGTCTCAGAGTTCCACGTTTTTGGGGTTTAAGTTCCAGTTGAGAGTGCAAGACACTTGTGTTGACATCAATGACATCTTCGCAGAATTCCTGAAGAGTGATCCACTATTCCAAGGCTCTCCTCTTCCTCATCTTCATCCTCGTGAGGAGACGCAGCTCAACAGTACAGAAATCCTGCAACACCTCCAACATAAAATGAAATAAAAACAATTACTCGCACTCGTCTGTGTTGCGAAAGACAATCCCACACAGACAGGCACATGAAACACACACCCCTCAAGTGCCCAATGTGTTGGTTTGTCTATATTCATATTCATATACATATAATCCCAGAACATTCAAGTATTCTGTCATGTAAACACTGGTTTTAATATTCTTTTGTCGCGTGTGCAAGACATGGTAGGACACTTATAGGAACACTGATGACCGCTGGAGGGACAGTTCACACAAAACCGGCCGCGTTTATTAAACACCATACGTCTGACTTCATAAACGGGAGAACGGCGGTCCGAGATCAGTCAGAGTGTGAGCGAATCATGACAAAATCTTCCTTTTTGCCTGAATTGTCTCCTTAACTATATGGAAGTCCATTTCCACCACATAAGAAGAAGAAAAAAATCATACTTTGGTAAATCATGATTATGACATATACCAAGTCAAAATTAGGAGATAAAAAGTCGCATTTGAGATCGAAAGCAAAAATTATAAGATAAAATGTTGAAATTGACATACTTAATCGAAATTATGACGTACCAAGTCTTTATTTTGACTTCTCATACATGAGTCATGTAATTGAAAGTCAAAATTGACATAATAAGCCATAATTATGAGACACTAAGTAATAATGTTGACACAAATCGCCGCACTTGGCATATTAAGACTAAAAATAGAAATTATGAGATTCAATTCTGACATTGTGTCTTTTTATGTCAATGAATTCCTACTTTTAATGCCACAATTTTGAGTTTTACGACTTTAAAAGTCCGAGTTTCGACTGTTATCTCACACGTATGACAGTGTTGTGTGTGGCTTCCACACTGAATGTTAGTGACGTTTGTCCTCGAGCTTCGAACTTCGCGCGCTCGCTGGTTCGTCGGTTGGTTCTGGCCGTTATTGACGCGAGGCTCACTCACTCACCATGGCAACAGACGAGAACAAGCACCGAGTAATGGCGCCCGTGTTTAGAGGATCACACAGGAGCAGCACTGATCGCCTCCGCCGGGCGTCGACGCGTAGTTCATCTGCCGCACGATCTCCGCGAACAGCTCGTCCACAGAACCCTTGTTTTTAGCCGAGGTCTCCATGAACGGGCAGTTCCACTCGTCCGCCAGGGCTTTGCCTTCCCCGGAGGAGACCTCCCGCTCGCCCTCCAGGTCCACCTTATTCCCCACCAGGATCATCGGAACCCGCTCGTAGCGCTTGACCCGGATGATCTGGTCCCGCATGGGCTTGATGTCCTGGAAGCTCTGCTGGTTCACCAGACTGTAAACGAGGATGAAGCCCTGGCCGTTCTTGATGTACAGGTCTCGCATTGAGGCGAACTGCTCGGTACCGGCGGTGTCCAGGATCTCCAGAACCGACGGCGACGAGTCCACCTCGATTTCCTTGCGGTAAAAGTCCTCTATCGTCGGGTCGTACTTCTCGATGAAGGATCCGGTGACGAACTGCACGGTTAGCGCGGATTTTCCCACGCCACCGGAGCCCAACACGACCACTTTGTATTCTCTCATGGCTCCTTCAGCACGGGCACGGGCACGGTCTCTCGGTCGCGCGTGCGTGCGCGCTCTCTCTCTCTGGTCTGAAACGCGCCGCGTGCACCCGCTTTGGGCTCAATCCGCATGAATCAGGTCCAAACTCCGGGTTCGGGCTCGCGGCCGCGTGTGCTCCTGCTCGAAGCGTGTTCCGCGGTGAGAATGAGCTCGATTCCGCATCAGAAGCGCATCGTGCTGGAGCTTGTTCCGTGTCTCCGCGAGAGATCAATGCGCCTCTCCCTCTCTCTCTCTCTCTCCTTCTCTCTCTCCACAGCTCACCTCTCACATACACACACACACACGCGCCGCGCGCACTCTTCCTGCCCTCCGTGCGCAGCGCGTCACGAGCTGACGTCACCAGCAGAGCGTTTCTTAAAGGCACAGTCACATAAACAATGACTGTTGTTGATGTCTAGTCACGGTACTTATTTACACAGTATGGAATTTCCATTTCTGACACATAAGGAAAAAAAATCATGCTTTACGTAATTTGAAATGATGACATAGTAAATTATATGAGATGAATGTAAAAAATCAAGTCCATTATGTCCATATAATCGAAATTATGACTTGAAAAGTCATATAAAGTCCGAATTATGACATACATGCTTAATTATGAGGTTTAAAAGTCGAAACTATTAAATAAAAAGTTATAATATGACATAGATAGAAATAATGACATAATTATAATTATGACATGGCAAGTCGAAATTTGGACATACTCACTAAATCATTTGATATGAAAGTGACAAACACTCCATGTCCATATAATCGAAATTATGACTTGAAGTCATAATTATGACATAAAAAGTCTGAATTGTGACATATATAGTTAATTATGAGGTTATACAGTCAAAATTGTTCAATAAAAAGTTGTTATTATGACATAGAAAGAAATAATGTAATTATGTAATTACTAAATTACAATTATGACATGGCAAGTGAAAATTATGACATACTAAGTCATAATTGTGATGAAATGTCAAAATTCAGACAAAAAGCTATAATTTAGATACAGAAATGAGATGAAAAGTTGAAATTATGACATTAAACGTCAAAATGATGAATTTAAAAGTCAAAATTATGTCATAATTATAATTTACCAAAACATGATTTTTTTCCTCATGTGTCAGAACAATAGTGGTGTTTGGTCTATACAAATGGTGTCAAAGCAGTTTCACATTGATTAACAGGACAATAACAGTGTGAATGTTGCAATCAATTATAGGCCTAATGAACGTCTCTCTCCAGTGACGATGACGGAAGATAAGAAGATGCAAAACTGTGAGAAATAACTCAGTTAAGTTATGGTATGAGATCTGATCGTCATGTGGACTCTATGAAACCATTTTTTCATCATAAATCACAATTCATTTCCATTTTTTTTCTTAAAAATTTAAAGTGAAAGGAATTAATTTACTCAAAGTAAACTGAGGGAACTTTGATTTTAGTGTGAACTGTGCCTTTAAAGGTGTGTGTGTGTGTGTGTGTGTGTGCGCACGCCTTGCTGTTGAACGAGTGTCGCAACCGCACGAGTCACGGCCAGAAACTGTGTGATTTATCATAAACTCGTGTTATATCACTGTTTCGAAAGAGTTCAGCTAGAATACGTTTGGATGTGTTTGAGATATTATAGAGTTATGCTGCACTCGTATAAACATGTTGGCCTGAGATATTTGTGTTCATATCCTGAAGGAAATCTGTCTTTATAATGCGGTTCGTGAGTGTAATTCACCAGGGCTCACTCAGGAATTTCCTGGTAAAGAAAGATCTGTGATTAACGTTCCTTGAAAAAGACTTGCTTTGATCACAACATCCCAGATAACAGGGAACGATCTGGCAAAGTTAGGAACAAACTCTCTTCCAGGAACGTTCATAGAAAGTTATCTGGTCTTTAATAATGTTCTCAAAACGTTAGAGCAAAAACATTATTCATACATCGTTCATGGAGCGTTTCTGAATCATTTCAGTTGGACGTTCCTCTAATGTTTTTAAATGTTACTTTGTTCCAGAACGTTCAGAGAAACATTCAAAAGTAACATTCCATGATGTTTGAAGAATGATAGAATGTAACATTCGCTTAATGTTCACATAACCAAGAGAAACATTTTTAAAATGATAATTTATTTATGTCACAGAATGAAAGTCTCTTTAAATAATGTTCAGTTTAGCTGTTTCTTTAACTCTTGACTGTGAAAAAAACATACATTTTTAAGTCATTTCAACTTAAATTACATTAAACTGATTATAAGGAAATGAGTTGAATCTTGTATAACTTATAAAACAAATTTGACAATTGCCTAACTTATTTTGAAGAGTTAAAGCAATGCAAAAACATATGTTGTCATAACTTATTGATCATGCAGTTTTTTACAGTGAAGCAAAGACAAAAGGAAGGAAGAAAATTGTTTAAACATGAAGTTTCGAGAGTCCGAGGCCAGACACATCAGCTGATGTTCCCTTAGGGTGGCGTTCGGGTGATCTCACACACACACACACACACACACACACCTGATGTGATCAACACTATAAATAGCTCCAGACTGACTCATTTCCTGAGTGTGAGCAAAGGTGAACAGTTTCTCAGGTGTGTTACACACCTTTATCATGCGGGAATGATGCGGCACGACCGGCCCGACGCGTGACCGAACCCGTTCCTTATCCGTCCTCACCGAGAGCAACAGAGGAAGATGAACAAAACAATCAGCAGAACATACAGTCAAAGCAAACATTACTCAGACACCATTGATATGTTTCACTAGTGTGATCAGGACACTGGTAAACGTGATTTCACCAAGTACCACATGTTCCTGGATCAACTTTCCAATCAACCAATCAGATTTGAGGGACAAGTTTACAGTTTATGTCAAGTTTAGGCTTAGAACCAGGGTGAAGTACTTAAACATCAGTGTCATTCACCTTTCATTACCCTCTGATTTTAGGGAAAAGTTATGGGTAGGGTTAGGTTTAGGGGTAGGGATTGGGTAAGGATTACATTTTGGGACAGGAATGTTGATCCAGGACCATGTCTTACTTGGCAAAATCACGGTGACCTCAGGACACTATAGCTCATGTGCAGGGCCGTCCATAAGGGGGAATAAAGGGGAACGTTTTCTGGGGCCCAGCCGCTAGGGGGGGCCCATGCAGTCCAGCAATAATTATGTTAATCCTAAATATAAGCAAAGGTTACCATATTTTATTTTTAACCAAAATAGCACCATTTATTGTTGAAAGTGAGAAAAAAATCCATTTTATTGAATGTTGCTTGAGTAAAATGTAGCCTGTGTCATAATGAAGGCGTGAATAAATAATGCGAATGATGCGTCTATTCGCGTCTTTGCATTGACTTTGTATGTAATCTACTCGCGCAAATAATTAAATACGCGTTCGGTGTGAACACACCATTAGATGTTGGACAGGTCGCGGGAATGGGGTTGTTTCATGACAATTTTCTTATTTTTTTCATTGGTTGTTGCGTTAAATCGTACCCAGATACAATAGTGCTATTTTCTGATTGGCTTTTGTGTAGCTCGACTAACAACACCACAGGGGAGACGCGCTTGATTCCTGCCGGGTGAGAGCCAAAGTGAGAGCGTCGGGGCCAGAGACATTTTGGGCACTTGCGGCAAATTCTATTATAAATCGTTTTTCCGCGTGAGAAATACAATATGTGGCGGGAGTGCATGACAAAATACCGAAATGAGTGACTGTCATGCTCAATGCGTGACACTTGAGAGCCCTGTGTGTGTGTGTGTGTGTGTGTGTGTGTGTGTGTGTGTGTGTGTGTGTGTGTGTGTGTGTAACTATAGACCCCATCACTGAGTAAGTCTCTCTCAGTTAAATGTATGTGTTAATGTTGGAGAGAGAGCACATGCATGATATGAGTAGCCTATTGCAGATTTGGGGAGGGCCCATTCACTGGACCTTTTCAGGGGCCCAGTCATTTCTGTGGGCGGGCCTGCTCATGTGTGTGAGTGAGGAGAGCAACATAAAGTAAACTGACATATTACACCCAATAACTCTTCACACAGACACTACCAGTGACATTTACACACATTTGGGGCCAAAGATTACTCAGACACTTTGAGCTGATCATGTTCTGCTGAAGTGTGTTTTCTGTAATTGCTAATGCTCTTTTACACACACACTGAACAACATGAAGCATTGCTTGGTCACTGGTTGAGCTAAACTGGTATTATCTAATTGTGTAGTTAAATTTACCAGCTGACAGATATTCAACATAATTCATGTGTGAGAGTCTAACAGAAGGACGGACAAAACCAGTCAAATATCCACTGATCTGAGAACTGAGTTCTGCTCATGTTTATAAACTATAGCGAATAAACGCTGATGATGTGAGAAATGTTGAAGTGTCTGAATACATGTTGGTTTGACTGTATTGAAAGGGATCGTTTACACAAGATCATTCTGTCGTCATTCACTCTCCTATATGAGTTTCTCCTGCCGAACACAAAGAAGATATTTTGAGAAATGTGTCAGTGTTTGTCCAGATCTAGATTACATCTCTGTGTTGTGCGCCGCTGAATACAGAATCTCCTACAGGTTTGGAGAGTTTCACATTAGTAAATGATGACAGAGTTCATACAGATACAGTCGTCTGTGTTTGGACAAACAGAAACACACTTTAGCACACGTTTCACTGGGCGTCACATGACCAGAGATCGGATCGGGCGTTTGAAATCAATCTGATGTCCAGACTGTGTTAATGATCCTCCTAAACTCGACTGGCCTGCAGTCAGAACATCCACATCACTGCATCAACACTGAACCTGCAAGCCTGAGAGACTCACAGGATCACACAGAACCGGTCTGGTCTGGTCTGGTCTGGTGTGGTGTGGTGTGGTGTGGTCTGGTCTGGTTTGGTCAGGTGTGGTGTGGTGTGGTGTGGTGTGGTCTGGTCTGGTCTGGTCAGGTGTGGTGTGGTGTGGTGGGGTCTGGTCTGGTCAGGTGTGGTGTGGTGTGGTCTGGTCTGGTCAGGTGTGGTGTGGTGTGGTGTGGTCTGGTCTGGTTTGGTCAGGTGTGGTGTGGTCTGGTCTGGTTTGGTCAGGTGTGGTGTGGTCTGGTCAGGTGTGGTGTGGTGTGGTGTGGTGTGGTCTGGTCTGGTTTGGTCAGGTGTGGTGTGGTGTGGTCTGGTCAGGTGTGGTGTGGTGTGGTGTGGTGGGGTCTGGTCTGGTTTGGTCAGGTGTGGTGTGGTCTGGTCAGGTGTGGTGTGGTCTGGTCAGGTGTGGTCTGGTCTGGTCAGGTGTGGTGTGGTCTGGTCTGGTCAGGTCTGGTGTGGTCTGGTCTGGTCAGGTGTGGTGTGGTCTGGTGTGGTGGGGTCTGGTCTGGTCAGGTCTGGTGTGGTCTGGTCTGGTCTGGTCTGGTCAAGTCAAGTCAAGTCACCTTTATTTATATAGCGCTTTTTACAATACAGATTGTATCAAAGCGCTTCACAGTGATAACATAAAAACAATATAACAAAAACAATATAACAATATAACAAAGTTTGTTTCTAAAAGAAATTGCGTCAACGTCCACCTTAAGTAAGGCAGATCAATAATATTATTGAATATTAAATGTTAAATGTCCCCAACTAAGCAAGCCAAAAGCCAAGGCAACAGTGGCAAGGAACCAAAACTAGATTATCTAGATTACATCTCTGTGTTGTGCGCCGCTGAATACAGAATCTCCTACAGGTTTGGAGAGTTTCACATTAGTAAATGATGACAGAGTTCATACAGATACAGTCGTCTGTGTTTGGACAAACAGAAACACACTTTAGCACACGTTTCACTGGGCGTCACATGACCAGAGATCGGATCGGGCGTTTGAAATCAATCTGATGTCCAGACTGTGTTAATGATCCTCCTAAACTCGACTGGCCTGCGGTCAGAACATCCACATCACTGCATCAACACTGAACCTGCAAGCCTGAGAGACTCACAGGATCACACAGAACCGGTCTGGTCTGGTCTGGTCTGGTGTGGTGTGGTGTGGTGTGGTCTGGTCTGGTTTGGTCAGGTGTGGTGTGGTCTGGTCAGGTGTGGTGTGGTGTGGTGTGGTGGGGTCTGGTCTGGTCAGGTGTGGTGTGGTGTGGTCTGGTCTGGTCAGGTGTGGTGTGGTGTGGTGTGGTCTGGTCTGGTTTGGTCAGGTGTGGTGTGGTCTGGTCTGGTTTGGTCAGGTGTGGTGTGGTCTGGTCAGGTGTGGTGTGGTGTGGTGTGGTGTGGTCTGGTCTGGTTTGGTCAGGTGTGGTGTGGTCTGGTCAGGTGTGGTGTGGTGTGGTGTGGTGGGGTCTGGTCTGGTTTGGTCAGGTGTGGTGTGGTCTGGTCAGGTGTGGTGTGGTCTGGTCTGGTCAGGTCTGGTGTGGTCTGGTCTGGTCAGGTGTGGTGTGGTCTGGTGTGGTGGGGTCTGGTCTGGTCAGGTCTGGTGTGGTCTGGTCTGGTCTGGTCTGGTCAAGTCAAGTCAAGTCACCTTTATTTATATAGCGCTTTTTACAATACAGATTGTATCAAAGCGCTTCACAGTGATAACATAAAAACAATATAACAAAAACAATATAACAATATAACAAAGTTTGTTTCTAAAAGAAATTGCGTCAACGTCCACCTTAAGTAAGGCAGATCAATAATATTATTGAATATTAAATGTTAAATGTCCCCAACTAAGCAAGCCAAAAGCCAAGGCAACAGTGGCAAGGAACCAAAACTCCATCAGGTGACAGAATGGAGAAAAAAACCTTGGGAGAAACCAGACTCAGTCGGGGGGCCAGTTCTCCTCTGGCCAACGAAGGAACAGTGCATGATTCGGGCAGCATTACAAGTCAGATTGGATCGGAACATTTAGAGTATTTTTTGGAAGTCCAAGTATGCACGCCGGTCTTAAGACGAGTTGTTGAGGATCAGTGCCGTCCACCATAGAGAGTCCATATCGCCCGTGTTAAGTCGTCACTTCATAGGCTTTGTGATTGGAGCATCTGAAGTCTCCGTGAGAGGCTGGATACAAACTGGAGCTGACGAACGCCATTTTCTCGGGACTCGCGTCCCGAGATAACAGCAGAAAAGCAAAGGGAAAATAATTAGCGTAGCTGCTGTTCATAATGATGATTTCCATAACACAGGCGTAAAAGACAAAACATGAATACAGTGACTCTTGCGTCCCAAAATCACCCCCCTCCGTCCCCCACTCAACTCAGCCCAGCTTACTGACCTCTACGTCCCTCCTGCTGCTGAGACCTAACCACAATCTCACAATCTCTCCGCAACCCAACCATACGCGCCAACCCGTTGACTAAGGCTGTCGAGCCCCACTGGTGCGTGAATAGGCAGTTTCAGTGGACAACGGTTCCGTATGGCATACTACCTACCGCAACACAATATCTGCCCAACCACCCGTCATTCACGCAATATACACAGGAACGTAATGACTGCAAATACTATGCAACCTATACAGATAACCTACAGTCTCTTCAAGTTTTATAGTATTAAATGCATTTGATCTGATTCAGCAGTATAATAAAAGGTAAGCATTATGTAAATGCTTGGCTAAAAAGATGCGTCTTTAATCTAGTTTTAAACTGGGACAGCGAGTCAGAGCCTCGAACAATATCAGGAAGGCTATTCCAGAGTTTAGGAGCTAAATGTGAGAACGCCCTCCCTCCTTTAGTGGACTTAGATATCCTAGGAATGACTAGAAGCCTCGAATTTAGTGATCTTAAAGAACGCGATGGATTGTAGGGCGATAGAAGGTCCATTAAATACACAGGAGCTAAACCATTTAGGGCTTTATAGGTCAGTAATAGTACTTTGTAATTGATACGGAACTTAATAGGTAACCAGTGTAGAGATGATAAAATTGGTGTTATATGATCATATTTTCTTGACCTAGTAAGAACTCTAGCGGCTGCATTTTGCACTAACTGTAGCTTGTTTATTGAGGATGCAGGACAACCGGCTAATAAAGCATTACAGTAATCTAGTCTCGAGGTCATGAATGCATGAACTAACTTTTCTGCATCGGAAACAGATAGCATGTTACGTAATTTAGCAATGTTTCTAAGATGGAAAAAGGCCGTTCTTGTAACATATGAAATATGATTTTCGAAAGACAAGTTGTGGTCTAGTATAACTCCCAGGTCTTTTACCGTAGAGGATAAAGTAACAGGACATCCTTCTATATTAAAGTTGTATTGTAAGTGGTTTTGTGGATAGTTTTTTGGACCAACAAGTAATACCTCCGTTTTATCTGGATTTAGTAGCAGGAAATTATGCGTCATCCAGCATTTTATATCTTTAAGACACTCTGTCAATTTTGATGAGTTAGTGTTTTCATCTGGCCGTGATGAAATATATAATTGAGTGTCATCGGCATAACAGTGGAAATTAATTCCATGTTTTCTTATAATATTACCAAGTGGCAGCATATATATTGAGAATAGCAGAGGGCCTAACACTGATCCTTGCGGCACTCCATAGTCTACTGACGTTATCTTCGATTTTTCCCCATTTAAACAAACAAAATGGTAACGGTCTGATAAATACGATCTGAACCAGCTTAATGCCTGTCCCTGAACACCAGTGTAGTTTTGTAGTCGATCCAAGAGTATTTTATGATCGATAGTGTCAAACGCAGCACTAAGATCGAGTAGAACTAGTATTGAGATACAGCCTTGGTCAGAAGCTAAAAGTAAATCATTTGTAATTTTAACTAGCGCAGTTTCTGTGCTATGATGCGGTCTGAATCCTGACTGAAATTTTTCATATATCTCATTTTCTTGCATGAAAGAGCACAATTGAGCGGACACAGTCTTTTCTAGTATTTTAGACATAAATGGAAGATTTGAAATCGGTCTGTAATTTGCTAAGTTATTTGGATCTAATTGCGGTTTCTTAATGAGAGGTTTTATTACTGCCAGCTTGAATATTTTTGGAACATGACCTAAAGATAAAGACGAGTTAATAATATTAAGAAGAGGCTCTTCCACTACAGGTAACACTTCTTTCAGAAATTTAGTTGGTATTGGATCTAATAAACATGTTGTTGGTTTAGATGCAATGATAAGTTTATTTAGCTCTTCCTGTCCTATAGTTGTAAAGCGGTGTAGTTGTTCTTGAGGGGCGATAGTTGAGGCTGAATCATAAGACACCATAGAGGATTGTACATTTAGGACCGTCACAATGTGCCTTTTTGGTCTGGTCTGGTCTGGTCAGGTGTGGTGTGGTGTGGTGTGGTGGGGTCTGGTCTGGTTTGGTCAGGTGTGGTGTGGTCTGGTCAGGTGTGGTGTGGTCTGGTCAGGTGTGGTCTGGTCTGGTCAGGTGTGGTCTGGTCTGGTCAGGTGTGGTGTGGTCTGGTCTGGTCAGGTCTGGTGTGGTCTGGTCAGGTGTGGTGTGGTCTGGTGTGGTGGGGTCTGGTCTGGTCAGGTGTGGTGTGGTCTGGTCAGGTGTGGTCTGGTCTGGTCAGGTGTGGTGTGGTGTGGTGTGGTCTGGTCTGGTCAGGTGTGGTGTGGTCTGGTCAGGTGTGGTCTGGTCAGGTCTGGTCTGGTCAGGTCTGGTGTGGTCTGGTGTGGTGTGGTCTGGTCTGGTCTGGTCAGGTGTGGTGTGGTCTAGTGTGGTTTAGTCTGGTTTGGTCTGGTCAGGTCTGGTGTGGTCTGGTCTGGTCAGGTGTGGTGTGGTCAGGTCTGGTGTGGTCTGGTGTGGTGTGGTGTGGTCTGGTCTGGTCTGGTCAGGTGTGGTGTGGTCTGGTCTGGTCTGGTCTGGTGTGGTGTGGTGTGGTCTGGTGTGGTGTGGTGTGGTGTGGTGTGGTGTGGTGTGGTAGGGTAGGGTCTGGTCTGGTCTGGTCTGGTCAGGTGTGGTGTGGTCTGGTCAGGTTTGGTTTAGTCTGGTCAGGTGTGGTGTGGTCTGGTCAGGTCTGGTGTGGTCTGGTCAGGTGTGGTCTGGTCTGGTCTGGTCTGGTCTGGTCAGGTCTGGTCTGGTCAGGTCAGGTCTGGTGTGGTGTGGTCTGGTCTGGTGTGGTCTGGTCTGGTCAGGTGTGGTGTGGTCTGGTCAGGTGTGGTTTAGTCTGGTCTGGTCTGGTCAGGTATGGTCTGGTCAGGTCTGGTGTGGTTTGGTCTAGTGTGGTTTAGTCTGGTTTGGTCTGGTCTGGTCAGGTCTGGTGTGGTCTGGTCTGGTCAGGTGTGGTTTAGTCTGGTCAGGTCTGGTCTGGTCTGGTGTGGTGTGGTCTAGTGTGGTTTAGTCTGGTTTGGTCTGGTCTGGTCAGGTCTGGTGTGGTCTGGTCTCATCAGGTGTGGTTTAGTCTGGTCTGGTGTGGTTAGGTCTTGTGTGGTGTGGTCTAGTGTGGTTTAGTCTGGTTTGGTCTGGTCTGGTCAGGTCTGGTGTGGTCTGGTCTGGTCAGGTGTGGTGTGGTCTGGTCAGGTGTGGTGTGGTCTGGTCAGGTGTGGTCTGGTCTGGTCAGGTCTGGTCAGGTCTGGTGTGGTGTGGTCTAGTGTGGTTTAGTCTGGTTTGGTCTGGTCTGGTCAGGTCTGGTGTGGTCTGGTCTGGTCAGGTGTGGTGTGGTGTGGTCTGGTGTGGTCTGGTCTGGTCAGGTGTGGTGTGGTCTGGTCAGGTGTGGTTTAGTCTGGTCTGGTCTGGTCTGGTCAGGTCTGGTCTGGTCAGGTCTGGTGTGGTCTAGTGTGGTTTAGTCTGGTTTGGTCTGGTCTGGTCAGGTCTGGTGTGGTGTGGTCAGGTCTGGTGTGGTCTGGTGTGGTCTGGTGTGGTGTGGTGTGGTGTGGTGTGGTGTGGTGTGGTGTGGTCTGGTCTGGTCAGGTGTGGTGTGGTGTGGTGTGGTGTTGTAGGGTCTGGTCTGGTCTGGTCTGGTCAGGTCAGGTGTGGTGTGGTCTGGTCAGGTTTGGTTTAGTCTGGTCAGGTGTGGTGTGGTCTGGTCAGGTGTGGTGTGGTCTGGTCAGGTGTGGTCTGGTCTGGTCTGGTCAGGTCTGGTCTGGTCTGGTCTGGTCAGGTCTGGTGTGGTGTGGTCTGGTGTGGTGTGGTCTGGTCTGGTCAGGTGTGGTGTGGTCTGGTCAGGTGTGGTTTAGTCAGGTCTGGTCTGGTCAGGTCTGGTGTGGTGTGGTGTGGTCAGGTCTGGTGTGGTGTGGTCTGGTCTGGTGTGGTCTGGTCTGGTCAGGTGTGGTGTGGTCTGGTCAGGTGTGGTTTAGTCTGGTCTGGTGTGGTCTGGTCAGGTCTGGTCTGGTCTGGTGTGGTCAGGTCTGGTGTGGTCTGGTGTGGTGTGGTCTGGTCTGGTCTGGTCTGGTCTGGTCAGGTGTGGTGTGGTCTGGTCTGGTGTGGTGTGGTGTGGTTTGGTCAGGTCTGGTCTGGTCTGGTCAGGTCAGGTGGGGTTTAGTCTGGTCAGATCAGGTCTGGTGTGGTGTGGTTTAATCTGGTCTGGTCTGGTCTGGTGTGGTCAGATCTGGTGTGGTCTGGTGTGGTGTGGTCAGGTCTGGTGTGGTCTGGTGTGGTGTGGTGTGGTCTAGTCTGGTCTGGTCTGGTCCGGTGTGGTGTGGTCTGGTCTGGTCTGGTCTGGTGTGGTGTGGTGTGGTCAGGTCTGGTGTGGTCTGGTGTGGTCTGGTCTGGTGTGGTCTGGTGTGGTCTGGTCTGGTCTGGTCTGGTCTGGTCAGGTCAGGTGTGGTCTGGTCAGGTGTGGTGTGGTCTGGTCAGGTGTGGTCTGGTCAGGTCAGGTGTGGTGTGGTGTGGTGTGGTGTGGTCTGGTGTGGTCTGGTCTGGTGTGGTTTAGTCTGGTCTGGTCAGGTCTGGTCAGGTGTGGTTTAGTCTGGTCTGGTGTGGTCTGGTCTGGTCTGGTCTGGTGTGGTGTGGTGTGGTCTGGTCTGGTCTGGTGTGGTCTGGTCTGGTCTGGTGTGGTGTGGTCTGGTCTGGTGTGGTCTGGTCTGGTCAGGTCAGGTGTGATTTAGTCTGGTCTGGTCTGATGTGGTCTGGTCTGGTCTGGTCAGGTCAGGTGTGGTTTAGTCTGGTCAGATCAGGTCTGGTGTGGTGTGGTTTAATCTGGTCTGGTCTGGTCTGGTGTGGTCAGGTCTGGTGTGGTCTGGTGTGGTGTGGTCAGGTCTGGTGTGGTCTGGTGTGGTGTGGTCTGGTCTGGTCAGGTGTGGTGTGATCTGGTCTGGTCTGGTCTGGTGTGGTGTGGTGTGGTCAGGTCTGGTGTGGTCTGGTGTGGTGTGGTCTGGTCAGGTGTGGTCTGGTCAGGTGTGGTCTGGTCAGGTGTGGTCTGGTCTGGTGTGGTCTGGTCTGGTCAGGTCTGGTCTGGTCTGGTCTGGTTTGGTCAGGTCTGGTGTGGTGTGGTCTGGTCTGGTCAGGTGTGGTCTGGTCAGGTGTGGTTTAGTCTGGTCAGGTCTGGTGTGGTGTGGTCTAGTGTGGTTTAGTCTGGTTTGGTCAGGTCTGGTGTGGTCTGGTCTGGTCAGGTGTGGTTTAGTCTGGTCTGGTCAGGTCTGGTCTGGTCTGGTGTGGTGTGTTCTAGTGTGGTTTAGTCTGGTTTGGTCTGGTCTGGTCAGGTCTGGTGTGGTCTGGTCTGGTCAGGTGTGGTTTAGTCTGGTTTGGTCTGGTCTGGTCAGGTCTTGTGTGGTGTGGTCTAGTGTGGTTTAGCCTGGTTTGGTCTGGTCTGGTCAGGTCTGGTGTGGTCTGGTCTGGTCAGGTGTGGTTTAGTCTGGTCTGGTCTGGTCTGGTCTGGTCAGGTCTGGTCTGGTCTGGTGTGGTGTGGTCTAGTGTGGTTTAGTCTGGTTTGGTCTGGTCTGGTCAGGTCTGGTGTGGTCTGGTCTGGTCAGGTGTGGTTTAGTCTGGTCTGGTCTGGTCAGGTCTGGTGTGGTCAGGTCTTGTGTGGTGTGGTCTAGTGTGGTTTAGTCTGGTTTGGTCTGGTCTGGTCAGGTCTGGTGTGGTCTGGTCAGGTGTGGTGTGGTCTGGTCAGGTGTGGTTTAGTCTGGTCAGGTGTGGTCTGGTCTGGTCAGGTCTGGTCTGGTCAGGTCTGGTGTGGTGTGGTCTGGTCAGGTGTGTTATGGTCTGGTCAGGTGTGGTTTAGTCTGGTCTGGTCTGGTCAGGTCTGGTCTGGTCAGGTCTGGTGTGGTGTGGTGTGGTGTGGTGTGGTCAGGTCTGGTGTGGTCTGGTGTGGTGTGGTCTGGTCTGGTCAAGTGTGGTGTGGTCTGGTTAGGTGTGGTTTAGTCTGGTCTGGTCTGGTCTGGTCAGGTCTGGTCTGGTCTGGTGTGGTGTGGTCAGGTCTGGTGTGGTCTGGTGTGGTTTAGTCTGGTCTGGTCTGGTGTGGTGTGGTGTGGTGTGGTCTGGTCTGGTCTGGTGTGGTTTGGTGTGGTCTGGTCTGGTCTGGTCTGGTGTGGTGTGGTGTGGTGTGGTCTGGTCTGGTCTGGTCAGGTGTGGTGTGGTCTGGTCAGGTTTGGTTTAGTCTGGTCAGGTGATGGTGTGGTCTGGTCAGGTGTGGTGTGGTCTGGTCAGGTGTGGTCTGGTCTGGTCTGGTCAGGTCTGGTCTGGTCAGGTCTGGTGTGGTGTGGTGTGGTGTGGTGTGGTCTGGTCTGGTGTGGTCTGGTCTGGTCAGGTGTGGTGTGGTCTGGTCAGGTGTGGTTTAGTCTGGTCCGGTCTGGTTAGGTCTGGTCTGGTCAGGTCTGGTGTGGTGTGGTCTAGTGTGGTTTAGTCTGGTTTGGTCTGGTCTGGTCAGGTCTGGTGTGGTCTGGTCTGGTCAGGTGTGGTTTAGTCTGGACTGGTCTGGTCTTGTCTGGTCAGGTCTGGTCTGGTCTGGTCTGGTGTGGTCTAGTGTGGTTTAGTCTGGTTTGGTCTGGTCTGGTCAGGTGTGGTGTGGTCTGGTCTGGTCAGGTGTGGTTTAGTCTGGTCTGGTGTGGTCAGGTCTTGTGTGGTGTGGTCTAGTGTGGTTTAGTCTGGTTTGGTCTGGTCTGGTCAGGTCTGGTGTGGTCTGGTCTGGTCAGGTGTGGTGTGGTCTGGTCTGGCGTGGTGTGGTCTGGTCATGTGTGGTCTGGTCTGGTCAGGTTTGGTCTGGTCTGGTCTGGTCTGGTGTGGTGTGGTCTGGTCTGGTCTGGTCAGGTGTGGTGTGGTCTGGTCAGGTGTGGTTTAGCCTGGTCTGGTCTGGTCAGGTCTGGTCTGGTCAGGTCTGGTGTGGTGTGGTCTAGTGTGGTTTAGTCTGGTCTGGTCTGGTCTGGTCAGGTGTGGTTTAGTCTGGTCTGGTCAGGTCTGGTGTGGTCAGGTCTGGTGTGGTGTGGTCTAGTGTGGTTTATTCTGGTTTGGTCTGGTCTGGTCAGGTCTGGTGTGGTGTGGTCTGGTCAGGTGTGGTTTAGTCTGGTGTGGTCTGGTCAGGTCTGGTCTGGTCAGGTCTGGTGTGGTGTGGTCTGGTCAGGTGTGGTTTAGTCTGGTCTGGTGTGGTCTGGTCAGGTGGGGTCTGGTCAGGTGTGGTTTAGTCTGGTCTGGTCAGTTCTGGTGTGGTTTAGTCTGGTCTGGTCAGTTCTGGTAAAAAGATGGCGCCTGTGTGTTCGGCTGGCCGTCGGTCTCTCTTGTACTTATTGTTTTGGATATTTTTATGGATGTCTATCTGGGCCTCTAATTGCTGCACACGTCTGGTCTATGACCGACAGTTACTCTTGAACATTCGCACCTCTTTTATGGACTTTTATAAGGAGGATGTAGCGCACGTTTTTAATCAATCACACAGTAACACCACTACTCATACATTGGAATGTATCCGCCAGTGGCCGCCTATCATTTCACGGAGGAAACGCAGAAGGAAACGCGGGAGGCGGGGTGGACGCATCATCAGATTGAAAGCTACTGAAAGACTCAGGATCGATGCAAATCATATGTCGGACGGCGATTTCGTCGCCCGGCGACCGCGAGCGCTGGCTCATCGGTGGCTCCTATCTATCACTCCCCCGCGATCTTCGCCTGTCCATATGGTTGGCTTACCTCGGGTTGGCAGTTGTCATCGGCAAAACGGTGTGAATCCCGGAAATCTACGTTCTTTGAAGAAAGGCGGAGCTTTCCCCGATGTGATTCATCCGCCCAAAATGGCACTGATCAACGCCAGATCCGTGGTCAACAAAACCTTCCTGCTCAACGACTTCTTCTCCTCTCATTGTTTGGATTTCATGTTTATCACTGAATCCTGGACTACGGTTGGTGACCTAACCCCTTTTTCAGAACTAGTTCCTAATGACTGTTCGTTTTTCAACACCCCCCGTCCGAACAGACGAGGGGGCGGGATTGTGACTATTTTTAAAGACTCATTCTCTGTGCGATGCCGGCCGGTTCCTGTCAGTGCTTTTTCAAGTTTTGAAGCGCAACTACTTCATTTAGACTGGAATGGCCCTATTTTATTAGGGGTGATTTACCGTCCACCAAATTCACTTAAGGACTTCATTCAGCAATTTACAGAATTCATTGGTAATATCACCACAACCTATGACCGCTTTTTATTGGTGGGTGATTTGAATATCCACGTTTGTTGTCAATCTAATACTCTCTCAAAGGACTTTCTAAGCCTTATTGAATCTTTTAACCTAGTCCAGTGGATAAATGATTCCACTCACATGAAGGGTCACACATTGGACCTTGTGCTTTCATATGGGATGGTGATTAGTGAGGTTGTAATATCTGATTTTATGCTTTCGGACCATAAGCCAATTTTATTTTCTACATCTCTTCCTTGCATTGCTCAAACCATCAGTGAAGATGTAAGACTATCTAGATCATACTCTCCTCTTTTTGTCTTAAATTTTAACGAGCACGTTATGAATTCCTCCACACACTTGCTTCTGAATTCTCCACTAGTGGAACTGGATGCTGACCAACATCTCGGTCTGTTATACTCCACTTGGTTAAATGCCTTAAATGAAACTGCTCCGCTTAAGCCCTACAAACCTAAACCGAAATCTGAACCATGGCTCAACGTGGATATTCGGCGAATAAGACAAGCTAGCAGAAAGGCTGAGCGCAAATGGAAGAAGGACAAGCTACATATTTCACTTCAGTTATTTAAAAACAGCCTGTCAACCTACCAAAATGCTGTAAAGGCGGCAAGAGCTGCGCACTTCTCTGACATGATTATGGCTAACCACTCTAGACCAAAGGTTTTATTTTCTGTTATAAACTCGGTTTTAAACCCTCCGGCAAATGTATTGAATGATGTTTCGGATGAGCTATGTGAGCGTTTCTTGAGATTTTTTATTGACAAAATATCTAACTTGAGATGCAATGCCAGCCGCTCTGCAACTAGTCAGTTGATGAATTCTGTTACCTGGGATGCTTTCGAGCCAATCACTCTGAATCTCCTCAAAGAAATTATCACTAAGATAAAACCTTCGTACTGCTCTCTAGACATCATCTCTCCTAAGTTTCTTAAATTGATTATCGATTCAGTAGGACCAGGATTGGTGTCCTTTGTTAATAAATGCCTCCTTACCGGCTCTATCCCTGCTGCCCTCAAGGAGGCCACTGTCACTCCTTTGCTCAAGAAGCCTTCACTGGATCCTACCGTGTTAAATAATTTCCGTCCTATTTCTGTTTTGCCTTTTGTCTCTAAGGTGTTGGAAAAAGTTGTTCTTGACCAACTCCAGCCCTTTTTAAAATGCAATGATATCTCTGAAAAAATTCAATCTGGTTTTAAGTCTGCTCACAGTACTGAATCTGCTCTGCTGAGAGTGTTAAATGACATCTATCGCTCCACTGACACTGGTGACTCTGTGGCTCTTGTCCTTCTTGATCTGTCGGCAGCTTTTGATACTATCGACCACTCTATTTTGTTATCCAGACTAGAATATGATGTGGGGCTAAAAGGTGTCGTCCTCCAGTGGTTCCAATCTTATCTTTCGGGTCGTACTTTCAGAGTAAAGCTAGGAAATTGCTCTTCGTCTGCTGCGCATCTAACCTGTGGCCTTCCTCAAGGTTCTATTTTAGCGCCTTCTCTCTTTTCCCTCTACATGTTACCACTGGGCACCATTCTAAGAAGACATGGGGTATCTTTTCACTGTTATGCAGACGACACCCAATTGTATGTTCCAATCAAGAGAAATGATCCCACTGCCCTTTCATCATTGTTAGGTTGTCTGGATGAAGTAAAATTTTGGCTGGATCAAAATTTTTTGTTTTTAAATGAAAACAAAACAGAGATCATTGTTTTCGGGTCCACTGGTAATCCCCAGGCTGTTACCTTTGACCTAAGCAGACTAGCGGCATTTCGTTCTGCAAGTGTGCGGAATTTGGGCGTTTGTCTGGATGAGTCTTTAAATTTTGAAAAGCACATCTCTTCTGTAATAAGCTCTAGTTTCTATCACCTGCGGCTGTTGTCAAAAGTCAAACCTTTTCTTAATCACAAAACTCTTGAGATGGCTGTTCATGCTTTTATCACCACACGTGTAGATTACTGCAATTCACTTTACTGCGGTATCTCGAAAACGCAAACAGCTCGTCTTCAACTGGTGCAAAATGCCGCTGCAAGATTCCTCACTAATAGTCGTAAAAGTGACCACATCACCCTAATTCTGAGGTCCCTTCACTGGTTGCCCATTCATTTCAGAACTGAGTTTAAAATCCTGTTATTTGTGTACAAAGCTCTATGCAACCAAGCGCCTAGCTACCTAACTGAACTGCTTCAACCTTACACGCCGTCAAGAAGTCTGAGATCAGGTGGAAAAAATCTGTTACAAGTCCCTCAATGCAGACTTAAACGTAGAGGGGAGCGAGCCTTTTCTGTGGTTGGGCCTCGGCTGTGGAACAATTTGCCCTTGGACGTTCGGATAGCCCCTTCTGTGATTTCTTTTAAGTCACTTTTAAAAACGCACTTGTTCTCTTTGGCCTACAAATAAGGTGCATGTACAGGTATATATATGTGTATATGTGTACATATATGTGTGTGCATGTATCTATATATATGGGTGTATATATATATATATTTATAATTTTTTTTTTTTTTTTTTTTTTTGTGTCTATTCTATATTTCTCTCCTTTGAGTATGATACTAGTTTAAAACCCGTTACTGTCTTCTCTGTTTTATTTTCTACTACTGATAGTCTCTGAGACTTCTTGAAGGTCTCCCGTTTTAAGCTGTTCTTAATCTGTTGTAATGTTCTATGATGTGCTACTACGCATGGTGTTGGTGTCTTTTAATTTTGTAGTTCTGTGAAGCACTTTGGTCAGTCAGTGGCTGCTATAAAATGTGCTATATAAATAAAATGAACTTGAACTTGAACTTGGTGTGGTCTGGTCAGGTGTGGTCTGGTCAGGTCTGGTCTGGTCTGGTCAGGTTTGGTCTGGTCTGGTCTGGTGTGGTCTGGTCAGGTCAGGTCTGGTGTGGTCAGGTCAGGTCAGGTCTGGTCTGGTCTGGTGTGGTGTGGTGTGGTCCGGTCAGGTCTGGTGTGGTCTGGTCTGGTCAGGTCTGGTGTGGTGTGCTGTGGTCTGGTCTGGTCTGGTCTGGTGTGGTCTAGTCTGGTCAGGTCTGGTCTGGTCTGGTCTGGTCTGGTGTGGTGTGGTGTCTGGTCTGGTCTGGTCTGGTCTGGTCTGGTCTGGTCTGGTCAGGTCTGGTCAGGTCAGGTCTGGTCTGGTGTGGTCTGGTCTGGTCTGGTCAGGTCAGGTCTGGTGTGGTGTGGTGTGGTGTGGTCTGGTCTGGTCTGGTCAGGTCTGGTCTGGTCTGGTGTGGTGTGGTCTGGTCTGGTCTGGTCTGGTCAGGTCAGGTCAGGTCAGGTCAGGTCTGGTCTGGTCTGGTCTGGTGTGGTCTGGTCAGGTCTGGTCAGGTCAGGTCTGGTCTGGTCTGGTCAGGTCTGGTCTGGTCTGGTCAGGTCTGGTCAGGTCTGGTCTGGTCTGGTCAGGTGTGGTCTGGTCTGGTCTGGTCTGGTCAGGTCTGGTGTGGTGTGGTGTGGGCTGGTGTGGTGTGGTCTGGTCTGGTCTGGTCTGGTCAGGTGTGGTGTGGTCTGGTCTGGTCTGGTGTGGTGTGGTCTGGTCTGGTCTGGTCAGGTCTGGTCAGGTCTGGTCTGGTCTGGTCTGGTCTGGTCTGGTGTGGTCAGGTCTGGTCAGGTCAGGTCTGGTCTGGTCTGGTCTGGTCAGGTCTGGTCTGGTCAGGTCTGGTCTGGTCAGGTCAGGTCTGGTCAGGTCTGGTCTGGTCAGGTCAGGTGTGGTCTGGTCTGGTCTGGTCAGGCCTGGTGTGGTGTGGTGTGGTGTGGTGTGGTGTGGTGTGGTCTGGTGTGGTCTGGTCTGGTCTGGTCAGGTCTGGTCAGGTCAGGTCTGGTCTGGTCTGGTCATGTCTGGTCAGGTCAGGTCTGGTCTGGTCTGGTCTGGTCTGGTCAGGTCTGGTCAGGTCTGGTCTGGTCTGGTGTGGTCTGGTCAGGTCTGGTCTGGTCTGGTCTGGTCAGGTCTGGTCTGGT